AGACAATTTTCTCATTTATTCCAAACTGACACAAAATTACTGAAATATCGATTCATCTCTCAAAAGGTATAACTCGGGATAGTCTTTTTCCTTTAAGAGGACTTATCCTAATATACGATCTATAAGAGGCCTATATCTTCAAGTAGTGGCCCAAGGGAGACGATAATTAGAACAAAAGAAAAAATAATAATATTTGTGTACACGACTAACGGGAGTATTGTTAATCCACTGACAACATTGCCAATTTGAGAATCGCATAGCTACACTGATCTCATATTTCAAACATTCTTATTAAGCCGTTTGATTTAAACTTTCGCCATTCTTTTTTTCGTATTTTGTTTCGCTTTCATATAAATGGACTAGTTACACAAATAGGAATACCCTAATTAATCGTGTGCATATGACCATCTGAGAGGGGAAATTATATTCCGATAGAATGCCTTGTTCTTCTGAAAAAGTTCCACTCTTAAAAAATATAGAAATCTTTATTCATTACAATTAATTCCATCATTTCTTAGAGAAATTTATGTGAACTATCACTCATTGGGTTTTATAGTTTTCATTTTATTAAGGTATTACTTGCATTTGCAGGGCTTTTTTCTCCAAAATCTGGCTCAAATGGATTTGTACATGCCATGTTCAATACAATGGTGCTCAGTAAAGCGTGCTATGGAATGCTGTGATAAATACATCACATGAAACCACCCCGGCCCCTGGATACGTCACAGATGTCTTTCTAGTGTTCATGCATAACGATGAAAATTAATTTTCTTTTACATGCTTTTCAATTCGTCCACAAAAGCACTCCAAGGTTAAAGTTTAGACTACAAGCCAGACAATTGACTTTATTTTATTCGATTTATTTTTCTCTTCCATCAATAGCAAGTAGTGCCTGAATTGATTACACCGGGTATTACTTCGGCGGAGCCGTAAAATCCCACATTAAGGCAATTTACAAAGAGAAAGCAAATTCGATCTCACGGTGGGGTTCACAAGGTTTATAATGTTCATGTCAATCTGACATTAGTGTCGTCATTAAAGTATTTTAAGCGCAAGAGGGCGTCCTTATTGTATTGTCCATGAATAGAAATCCAACGTTCATAGTAAAGAACTGTCAAAGAAAGCAGAAAAATCAGGTAAGCAGACAAAAAAAAATGGAATGAAATCGGACAAAAACTAACAAAGATTTGACTTTTGGAAAGTTGTAATCGATATACGTATCTGAACTTAACATTTTCTGAATTGGTAATTTTTCTGTTATGCTGTGCCAGACAATTTTCTCATGTGTTCCAAAACACAAAATTACTGAAATATAGATTCCTCTCTCAAAATGTATTACTCGGGATGGTCTTTTTTTTCTTAAGAGGACCTATCATAATATACGATCTATAAGAGGCCTATATCTTGAGTAGTGACCCAAGGGAGACGATAATTAGAACAAAAGAGAAATTAATGATATTTGTGCACACGACTAACGGGAGTATTGTTAATCCACTGACAACATTGCCAATTTGAGAATCGCTTAGCTACACTGATCTCATGGCATATTTCAAACATTCATAACTCTCCTATTACATCGACAAATTAAGACGCACATTTTTTTTTTTAAATCCCCAAAATTTCGCAATGACTCAGCCACCCGCTGAATAAGCGGGGGGGGGGGGGGGGGGGGTGGGGGGGATAATAGCAATTTTTGTTGTGTGTGTCCAAGAAGTTGAAAATTTGGTCGATCGATATTTCGTTTCGTTTTTCAATTTAAATAAATAACTAGGGGGGGGGGGTTTTCCAAAACACACAAATACAAACGTTAAAAGGGGGTGTACAGCCCCCCCCCCCCCCCCCCCCCCTGCGTACGCGCCTGTTCTCACTATAGTTTCATGCTCTTAAATCACTTATTTTACATTTAGGTAATCAAAAACAGATTTGGGTACCTCATATTTGACCCTCAAAGCCTCATACCGAAAATGTATCACGACTTTTTGGTACCAGAATATAGCGATTAACTGTGCTCCCATTAGTTCAGAAAAAAGGTTTCAAGCAGACCTCTGACGGTCGTGAGGTACTGATTCTTCGTACCGCTAATAGTAGGTTTTCATTACCAAGCAAACATTTTTAGCCAAAATATTCGATCTGAAATGAAAAAAAAAAACAATGGTTGGCCCCTATCATATTACGATGTCGCATTTGGGGACATTTGACCAAAATTCAAATTTTATACTAGAAACCATGGTTTTTAAAATGGAACTCCGTTTCCCTCTTGGAACAACTACCATGAAAGCAAAGCAGACACTATTTGCTTTGATTACGATTGCCTGGCGTGTAGTCTGGACTTTAACACTGGAGAGCTTTTGTGGTGTGAGTTGAATAGCAGCAGGTAAAATAAACCTCTCTATCGTTATGCTCGAAATTGAATAGACATTCGTTACGGATCCAGGTACCGCCCCTACCCCTCCCTACACCAAACGAAAGTCAGAACGAAAAGAACGGGGATGAATATTATACATATATAATTTGATGACCTTTTTTTTTGGGGGGGGGGGGGTTGTGTGAAGGTGCGCGTGCGTCAGGTAGTCTAAAGGCACAAACTACAATTTGGCACGTTAAACCCATTCCTGATGCATTGAGCAGAGCCATGATCAACCAGAGCCTATAAACAGCATTCTGTCAGCCTAGTCTTACCGTGCAGTCTCGGCGCCTGATTATGATCACGTTCGCAAAAGGATTTCTGCCACTGAACATTATTTTGCTGTTTCTATTCTTGAGGCATATTTTAGAGTGCAAATACGGGTTCGTTGCTTGGGGAGATACATGTGAAATTGAAAGCAAGTCAAACTAAATCCAACATACACTCGAGTATATGAGGTGTAGCTCACTTTAAGACTCAACGTTGACAGGCATGCAGCAGCAATTTCGATGCGAATATCTACAACTATGTATCCTAAAGCATGTGTACATTTTATTCCCTACTCTATGTATTAAAAGTTTTTTTTCAGAAACCACCGACCGTTGAAAGAAAACAATAAATTAAAGGCCGACGCCGGCTGCAGCGGATGAGCGCAGGATCGCCTCGGTCATTCCAGGTCATCTGACTTGTCCGAGAGCCCAAGAGACCGACATTATCAAAACAATACTTAATTGACAGTTCACTAGAGCGACAGCCCCAGGGACCGACGATGGCACAATCTTCAAGAGACCAATATTGACAAGACCGCGACTCCCCAACTAGATCCAATCTGACGGTCCACTACAGCGACAGCCCCAGGGACCGACAATGACAAAATCTTCAAGAGACCAATATTGACAAGACCGCGACTCCCCAACTAGATCCGATCGTGACCGACAAAAATAAAATGCATAAACAAATATAGAACTGGAGAAAGTTTCAAAAGGTCCACGAGGCCCATGACACAAGACACCAACTGCCCGTTAAACTGACGAAAGAAAGAAATACTAGGGGAAGATAGAAACGAATACTGGTCTCCTGGGCTGTAGCCTACATCGAGAGATGTAGACAAATTAGCTAAGTAAAGTAAATGCCAAAACCTTGTTTAAAATCAGGGACGGATCCAGGAATTTCTTCACGGGGGCACATTGGGGGAGGGGGAGGGGGGGGGGCATGCGGGGGAAAAAGAGGTCCCCCCCCAAAAAAAAATCGCCTTTTTTTTTTGGTAACGAAATTTTTTAATTTGACATTTTGCTCCGTTGTGAGGGGGGGGGGGGGGTGGAGGTCACCTGTTTAGGTCAGCCGTTTGTATATACATATATATAAAAAAAATTGCCCGGGGGGAGGGACACGTCCCTTCTTTTTCAGTACATTTTTGCGAATTTAGGGCTAATTTTTACATATTTTGGGGCGGCCGAGGGGGGGGGGGGGGGTACCTGCCCCCTGTGCCCCCCCCCCCCCCTGGATCCGTCCCTAAAAATTGTCCTATGTGGAAATTTTTTTGCGAGTCCAAGAAAACAGAACGGTAATTTTGGAAGCACATTTTCAAGAGAGATTCTGTGATTTGATATCAAAATAGCTTTAACAGTCTTATTCTGCCCATGATTGAATAATTATCAATGTGAATGATACAAATAATTTTGCGTTATTTGAACTAATACACACAGTTTGAAGCGATTTTCAGTTTGTATTTAAACATATGTTGACGTATCATGTGTAAAAGCAAGAAATAATGTGATTAAGTGGATAAGCTCAATAGAAATTTTGTCATAAAATATCCCTGCGACTAGCTGGTTTCGGCTCATTCTAAATAGTCATCCATGCATATCTTCTATTTTCATGTACTTTTGCAGCGCATTCCAACAAAGCCTAGATGAGGTCATGGTGACGTACTATCATGATGATGTTCTACACAACAACGCCCGATTCTCACAAAAGGATCCGCCATTTTCTTCATGACTGTTCAATCGGTTAGTTTGCTTGGGAAACTGTAAGCAAACTAACATCATTTATTTAACTCTTACCTTTGTGTAATATACCATTAAACACAAGGTAATTTTTTCGGATAAAAAGCAGGAAGCTAAATTTTAAGAAATGTTCCGAGCGTTTTATAGTGGAACAATTGTATGCACTGATTTGCCAACTGATTGGACAATCTACAATTCATTTTGAAGCAACAAACCTTTGATGGTATATTTGGATGGACCGGAGCACGTTGGTTATATGAAGGAAATCAGAAAAAAAATTGGAAATATCACACTTGTACTGAAAGCGCCAGGACTGTCCGAGACGGATTCTATAATCATAACATTTCAATTATGATCGCAAGTACTTCTTTAATAAATTAAACGAAAGCTTAAACCTGCAGGGTAACATAGATCGATATATTCCTCTAAGGCAGTAGAGCGGGTAAATTCATTGACGTATTTAGTCTCTTCTAAGAAACAATTTACAGAACACAAATGTGACTTGATGGACAAACAGGATATATAAGGTCCAGAACGAAGAAATATTCATAAGATTTGCCTCACCATTGGGCCCACAGACATAACAAAACATGAATGTAAGAGCAGCAAATGAACGTGCTGAGGTCGATAAAGCCTTTCGTACGGCAGCTTCAGAGGGTCATCTTGATATAGTTCAGTTTTTCGTTGGTAAAGGAGCACAGATTGAAAAGCGTGATGAAAAATATGGTGTGACAGCTCTCCATTTAGCATCAGCTGACGATCATCTTTATGTAGTTAAGTACCTCGTTGGTCTTGGAGCACAGATTGACACGTGTGATAATACGTATGGTGACACACCTCTTCACACTGCATCAGGCCATGGTTACCTCGATATAGTTCGGTACCTCGTTAGTCAAGGAGCACCGATAGAGAAGGTTAATGCAAATGGTTACACCCCACTTCTTACTGCATCAAGCAGGGGTCGTCTTGACGTAGTTGAGTACCTCTTTAGTCAAGGAGCAAATATAGAGGTGAGCAATACTTATGGTTCGACACCACTTAATTCTGCATCGGGGAATGGTCACCTTGATGTAGTTCAGTACCTCGTTGGTCAAGGAGCAGAGATTAATAAGCATAGTAAAGATGGTAGGACAGCTCTTCTAACTGCATCGCTTAAGGGTCATCTTGACGTAGTTAAGTATCTCGTGGGTCAAGGAGCACAGTTAGAGCAGGAAGATAATGCATGTTTAAGACCTCTTCACCGTGCATCACACAGTGGTAATCTTGGTTTAGTTCAGTACCTCGTTGGTCAAGGAGCAGAGTTAGAGAGGGGTGATAATAAGGGTCAAACACCTCTTTACTTTGCATCAAGCAATGGTAATCTCGATGTAGTTCAGTACCTCGTTGGTCAAGGAGCACAGATAGAAAGGTGCAATAATGAAGGTAACACCCCACTTATTGTTGCATCACACCATGGTCATCTTCGTGTAGTTCAGTATCTCCAGAATGAACAAGAACGGAGGAGAGGAGCATCATATAAAGGTATGATTCGCATTTTATCAGTGATCTCTATTTTATGTTTTACAAAAATTGATGCATTTATGGTAGCATATATTGGCACCAAGATTAGTGGCGATATGAATATTCATTATTCCCTACGTCACAGACGTGCGGCGTGCGTACTCTGTCATATGCGACGACTACGTTCGTAAGCATTAGTACATGTACATTGCTCCGGAATGAAGAGAATCATTATAAAGGAGGAATTACTCCGTGAAGCTAAGTACAAGCAGGGAATTGAAAATAGCAAACGTTCCTCGGAGCAGCTATACACTCCCTAATCTAGCTAGTTTTGTAATGATAGTTTATTTAGGAAAATGGACATATTTTAGTACTGTTTAGTTGTTCTATAACATCACTCAGTTTGATTTGATTCGAGATATATCTCATTAATAAAACAGTATAAAGGCTGAGTGAGTTTCGAACAAACCATCGATCGCCACTAAACTTGGTGCCAACACCGTTAAACCATGCTCCAAATTTAGTAATATATTTTATATGCCCTAAAGATCCGGGGTTGGAATATTTAAGAGAACAGAAGATTGATATTGTAAAGTTGTTCTATAACATCACTCAGTTTGATTTGATTCGAGATATATCTTATTAATAAAACAATATATAAAGGCTTTACCTTTTGATACCTTATTTTGTGACACTGACAGGACACTAATTGGCGTAGGGTAGAGCGGGTGGAGCCCCCAGAAGCTCAGGGGTTTGAGGCATTAAATTATTGTCAAATGAGCATCCACAGGGCAGCGTAGGGCCCCTGGTTGGGCTGAAGGGGCGGAGCTATCGTAGACTACGATCAGATGAGCATATTTTGATACCTTATTGTGACACTGGCAGGACACTAATCGGTGTGGGGTTCAGGGGGGAGGGTGGAGCCCCCAAAAGCTCGGAGGTTTTAGGCTTTAAATTACCGTCAGATGAGCATATTGGGGCCCTCCTTAAGGCCCTAGGTGGGGTCCAGGGGGCAGAGCCGCCGAAAGCTCAGGGGGTTTTAGGTATTAAATCACGGTTTAGATGAGCATATTTTGATACCTCATTATTTTGTGGCATTGGTAGGTCACTATTTTTTCTTTCTCCCTTTCTTTCCATACCTCTTTTATATACTTTTATATACACACGAGCATCCAGGGGCCCGCCTTAGGGCCCTAGGTGGAATCCGGGGGGCAGAGCCTTCGGAAGCTCAGGGGTTTTCGTTATTTAATCCCGGTCAGATGAGGATATTTTGAAAACTCATTATTTTGTGACACTGGCAGGTCACTATTCTTTCTTTCTTTCTCTTTTTCTTTCTATTTCTCTTTGATATAATTTTCAAAAAAGTAGGAGGGGAAGCTCGAGGCCACCGAGCCCCGCCGTTTCGCGGGCCCTGACATGTACGTCTCAAAATAAGCAGATTTCTCGCCTAACGGTAATTTTAGGAATTTGTCATTTTCCAAGAAACGCATAACAATGTACAATTTACTAAAAAAGTGAGTAAAAATCTATGTCATTTCAGCAACATTTGTAAATCACCGATATGGGGGGGGGGGTGGCACCCCATCCCACCCGTACGCCAGTGCATCCCCCATCCCCCACCCACCCCCGCCTCGATCTACACCTTGTTGGCGAGAAAAATCGCAACTGATCTCCCCTACCTCACTTCTTTCTCTTGTTTTCCTTCCCTTTCTCTCTTCTTTCCCTTTCCCTTCCCTTTCTCTCTTCTTTCCCTGTCCCTTCCCTTCCTTCTCTCTTTTAGGTTTGATGAGGGGGGGGGGGGGGCAAGGCTTGCTCGGCCTCCCTGGATCCGCGCCTGCGTGTGTGTCCCATATTTGATTGGGTTTAGAAAGATTAATAATAATAATAATATTCCGTGTTTATATAGCGCTCAATACATCGATCCAACGATGTGCCTAAGCGCTTTACAAATATATTATTACCCCGATTGTGGTTGACATAATTAACAAGAAAATTGGTTGGCTTGCACATATCTGTATTACTGTATGAAAGGTTAAACAAAAATAAATGAGTATTTGAATATTTGACAAGGCATTTCACACAGTAAATTGCACCTGAAATTGCATCATGTGCATTGTAAGTTCCAAACGCTTTCTTTCATATAAATACACACAAAAAGTTCCAAAAGCTTGAATGCATGCTAATTCACAAGATGTAATAAAACATTATGAATAATTATGATACACTTACATGCAAACGCATGATCGTTATTGCGTTTCTTTCTGCCTGCAACGTAGTTTTCTTCTGCATTTCTTTTCTAAGCTGTTATGATTTTATATTCATATTCTTGTTCTCTGACAGAAATGAATAGATAAATATATGAATACATTCAAGTACAATGAAAAATGTACGTTAGGGACTTTTCGCACGGCGACGCAAATGCTGACTACGGGGTATTTAAATGAGCTCGCCACTCCGTAATAGCTCGACAAACGACGCTAATCAGGCTGAATACCGTCGTAGGTTTGGACGCTACGCGGAAATTTTCGCTCTGAGATTAGCGTTGTAGAAGGCCCCCGTCGCCGGTTGCCAAAACGTCATGATGATGATAGAAGAAGCGATAAATATCGCAACTGATCTTACCTTCTTTTCCCCATTTTCTTTTCTTCTTCCTCTTTAATTTATTTCCCTTTCTCTCCTCTTTCCCTTTCTTCATTTCACTCTCCCTATGTTTGTTCGGGCGTGGGGGGGGGGGGGGGGGGTGCAAGGACCTTTCATTCTCCTGATCCACACCTCGTTGGCGGGAAAAATCGCAACTGATCTCCCTACCTTTCTTCGTTTTCTTACCTTTCCCTTTCCCTTCCCTTCCTTCTCTCTTTTTTAAGTTTGCTGGGGGTGGAGGAGGCAAGGGCCTTCCGGCCCCCGATCCACACGTTATTGGCGGGTTTAATCGCAACTGATCTCTCCTTCTTTACACCCTTTTCTTTTCTTCTTCCTCTTTTTTGTTCCCTTTTAGCTCTCCTCTTTCCCTTCCCCCTTTTTGCCCCCCCCCCCCCAGAATCTAAGGGGTTTTAGGCATTAAATAACGATCAGATGAGCATCCAGGGGCTGGCTTAGTGCCCTTGGTGAGGTCCAGGGGGCGGAGCCCCCGGAAGCTTAGGATTTTTAGACATTTATTTAAGGTCAGATGAGCAACCATGGGCCCGTCTTAGGGCCCTTGGTGGGGTCCAGGGGGCAGAGCCTCCGGAAGCTCAGGGAAATACCACGCCATTTCACGACATTTGTAAATCACTTTTATCGAATAAAAATAAACCACATTTGAATTTTATTAGGGGGCAACAGCCCCCCCCCCCCCCCATCATTACGCCAGTGTTGGCTCCAAGTTTAATAATGTAGGTTCGTTTGAGACTATTATAGCCTTTATATTGTTTTATTAATGATATATATCTCGAATTAAATCAAACTGAGTGATGTTATGGAACAACTTAACAATATCAATCTTCCGTTCTCCTAAATAATCCAACTCGGGTCTTTGTCGACACACACAACGTATTACTAAATTTGGAGCATGGTTTAACGGTGTTGGCACCAAGATTAGTGGCGATGGTTCGTTCGAGACTCACAAAGCCTTTATACTGTTTTATTAATGAGTTATATCTCGAATTAAATCAAACTAAGTGATGTTATGGAACAACTTAACAATATCAATCTTCCGTTCTCCTAAATAATCCAACCCCGGGTCTTTAGGGCGTACAAAATGTATTATTACATTTGGAGCATGGTTTAACGGTGTTGGCACCAAGATTAGTGGCGATGGTTCGTTCGAGACTCATACAGCCTTTATACTGCTTTATTAATGAGATATAACTCGAATCAAATCAAACTGAGTGATGTTATTGAACAACTAAACAGTACTAAATGTCCATTTTCCTAAATAAACTATCATTACAAAACTAGCTAGATTAGGGAGTGTATAGCCGCTCCGAACGTTTGCTATTTTCAATTCCCTGCTTGTACTTGGCTTCACGGAGTAATTCGTCTTTTATAATGAATCTCTTCATTCCGGAGCAATGTACATGTACTTATGCTTACGAACGTACTCGTGCACAAGTGCATGTCTATATGACAGAGTATGCACGCCGCACGTCTATGACGTAGGGATTAATGAATATTCATATCGCCCCTAATCTTGGTGCCAATATATGCTACCTGCATTTATAGGAACAGAACTGGCATAATTCTTTTTAAGTTTTAAATTGTTGTTATCCTTAACTTTATTTAAAGGTGATTGTTGAAAAATTCCTAATTATATTAATTCGATCTCATTTTATTTCTTCAATTGTTTACATCATGAACTAATTAACCAGCCTTACCCAGATTGTAGAACCTTATTCAGCAGTTGTTCCTGATCCTATAACTGAACTAATTTGAATCAAAATGGATTGTGTAATGCCGTATGACCACAGTTCACTTGGTCCAATACCCAGTTTTTCCAACGCCCCCCTCAATGTTACTAGGGTACGCATATGCGTCTTCCCAGCACCCCCCCCCCTTTCTGCATAAGTTCGGTGTGTAAAGTTAATACGGGTAGGCCTTTTTATTTTGTTATACGAGCGTTTTTAGCACACACCCCCCCCCCCTCCTTTTAGCATAAGTCCGGTGTGTAAAGTCAATACTGGTAGACCTGTTTCTATTGTTAAAGGTAATACAAAGTTTTGGGAAATTATGAAAATTGGGCGGATATTAAGCAAATAAATACCATTGGTGAAGGTGATGGGACAAACTATCACTTCCGAGGCGATCTGGATGTACCTATCTTTCCGAAGTGAAGCTGAGAAAAGTTAGCGTATACATTCAGATCGCCGAGGAAGTGATAGTTTGCCATCGCCTGAAACCAACAGGTGATTATTTGCTGTATATTCCACATCGGCAACATTCCACTTCTTCCGTCATTTTTGTATTACCTTTAAGAGCCGTAGATTTTGGGAACACGTATGCGGTCCCTCCTTCCCCAGGGTTGGGGGGGGGTTCCCATTTGATCCAGGCATTATATTCCCGTTTGTCTATATACATTTCGTCTATTTTAATTTCGTCTACTCCCATTTCGCCTAACTACCATATGGTCTAATCTTCATTCGGAAATTAATTTGTTTTGTATTACTGCCGATTGCTCTATTGAACAGTTTTGATCATTACCGTTAAGCCTATGTCTATATAATGGATACGTCTTATTTTTTATTTATTTTTTATTTTGTGTATACCAAGAAGAAACTATAAGTTTTCTATTTAGTTAACAGTATTCTAAGTAACGTTTTTTGTTCTTTCTGATTCTGATAGTGTATCTGGAGATGGGAGCGGGGTGGGTCATGCCAAGCAGTAAACATGTTTGGACAATAATATCTGGGCCCCGTGTCATAGAACCTGTTATCAATAAGAAATGCTAAGTTTCTATGAAAAAATTGCTCTGAGCCAATCAAATGCCATGATTTCAGTAGCTTATAACATTTACTGTAACTTGTTATTGATAACACGTTTTTACCAAAATTAATACAGCCCTGATTCGTGCGCTACTTTACGAATTTAGAACGAATATAGATTTAAATACAAACTTTGTTGAAAAAATTGGATTGTTTAGTGTGCATCGTGTACAAAAATAAATTGCCTTTTGGGAGTAGCAAACTCAGAGAATTATCCCGGCGGAGGGGGGGGGGGGGGCAGTCACATTAAAACAGGGTAGCCTCATCAGTAGTTGAATAACTATCATACTTCGGGCCCTGCATAACATAAACAATACAGAGTAGGTACATGTACATGGTTGTGACACGATCATAATTACGATGATATTGTTTTCCAGGGAATTTTAAACAGAAATAAATGCAAAATTTAATCAACATGCCCAACAGCAACAAAAACATGAAGATTAACTACTTTTTTTGTTAGTAAATACTACTTCTTACACGACCCCTAACGTTAGGTTGTATTCATGGTTGATTTAACCACTGGATATTTTAAGCAATTGAAGAAAAAATCACTACATGTACCATTTATATACACTTACATTATTAGAAATGCATATACAGGATCCAGGTCAAAGGTTAGCTGAACGGTGCTTTTAAACGGTCTTCATGATTGTCATAATGACTTCTATTTTTCCTCTTTGATTTAGAAGCACCATCAGGGGCAGATTTCCAGGGAAAATCCAATGAAGTCCATAATGCAACATTGTTTGTTCATCAACCGGAGGTAAAGCTTGATCAAATCAAGATGATGCACCTTACTGTTGAAGACTCCAGTGGGAAAACATGTGCCTTCCATGAGAAGAAAGCAAGGGAGCATGAAGGATGTCATTTGGGCGGAGGCTCTTTTGGGGAGGTCTTCAAGGCTACACATAAAGTACATGGTGAAGTAGCAGTGAAGCTTGCTAAACCTGGTAAAGAGTGAGTAAAAAGAATCGTTGAAAGTTATATCGACCAAAAGAGGCATAACATTTTCCAAATGTCTGGGGCGGTACTCTGAAAACTATGTTAACTTCTGTGTCCTTGGTCGGGAGTTTACTAACAGGTGATTATTTCATCAAATCAATTAACATAAGAAAAGGGGGACCATGGGGACCAACGGTCATCTATAAGGCACTATTTGCAATATAGAGGGCGCAAGTAGCTATCAGTAGTGAAGTGGGGCTTTAATCGGTATTCTGAAAACGATGTCTAGGGTTTGTTATTCTTTTGTACGTTATGCCCTTGACACGTTCATTTGTCATTGATTCTTCATCGACTTTTTGATTTTTCATCGATTCTCCAATGGGACTCACTGTGGTTAAAATTTCTCAGCCAATCTTGTTACACGTTTGATAGTGCGTACAGCTATGTGAATTATAGAACATATTGATTGAGCATCATCAATTCATTCGCATTACCTTTATCCAAGTCTTTGTCAGAAAGGTGTGCATGAAAATCCACCTAATTTCTTTCTTTTCTATGTTTTCTATGTTTCTTCTACTGTCAAAGCATTATATTGTAGTGATCAAGGAAACGAAACGGGAAAAACAAAGGAAAGAAAATATTTATTCACTTTTTTTCTTCTTATCCTCTTACCAAGTGTTTTATTTCATATATTTTATATATGAAATCATTAGTTTACATTTTAAACATAATACAACAAGACAAAAATAATTGAATGAATGGTTATATCCTTTACATGTCTGGGAATAATTTATTTGTGTTTCGTCAATAAACAACAATGCTTATTTGCTATACAATATCGTAATAAACAGACTTTTACTATTATAATCTTTACCATCATAGCGAATTCGGATATGCATTATGTATATTATGTATTTGCCTAAAATTAACTGAAATTTATCACACAGTTTTCTTTTTTGCAACATATTAACCTATAACTAATGTTTTTTATAATTAATATGTAATTTTTTACGAAAGTAATTATAAATAACTTTCAATAATTTTCCAAAAAAAACAAACATTATTACACTTTGACTTGACATGAAAAGTTTTTCTGTTTCTTTACATCACATTGCTCATTGTCCATTATAGTCCAGGCATCTGCATAGATTATGTTTTGATTGGAAAACATTATGCAATACTTCAAATTAACTTGCTTCTTCCTATTATCTCCTATTTGTTGAAATTTTAAGTTAAAAACTTTTTGCTAATGAGCCATTTCGTAAGTACTGTGTGCACATAGGCAGATACATATCATTTCTGATAAAACAGTAAAACCCACCGAGATGAATACGTGCTCATGTTATGTAATCATTATTCTTGTGTTGCACCTACGGTACATTTTATGATACAAGAGGGCAAACAAAAGCTTTTTATGAAGCAAGTACATGACTTTGGCATTGATTATTCTAAAATACACAAAGTGGGACTTCTCCATGAGTAAAAGATTTGTGGATATTTGGGGTCATTTTACCCATGTGCTAGCTACGAAATGGTCTATTAAAGGATAAAGGTAAAATTCAAGTAATTTCCAACGTGTAACACTTGGTTTCATGGGTTTTTGTTTAAGGAGGGATTAATAATGATGTTTCGTCTTCTAAACTAAATAAATGTATCAACACGTTCTCATGTAGCCACTTCTATCAAATTTGGGATCTGCTGTAAAACATAGAAACCTCACAACTCGTGAATAGACCAAACTCTATGATAAAACTGGCTTGTGGATGATAACCACATACCTCTCGTAAATTTCCGGTTGGTGTGAGAAACAATTATTGTAACTCTCAGCATAAACACAATTTGTAATAGGCTTACAATTGTTTCCTATGTCACAATATGCACAAGGAGCCCAACACGTTTTGCAGCTCATGACCATATTTAAATATTCTAAGAAAAAGTCCTCACACTTTTTGTTAAATATATCATCTTCTTTGATTAATGTTTCTCTCAATATCCTACATAGAGATCTAGTGGAGATGTACCAGAAAGAGGTTCGAAAGCACGGAATTTCCCTGACCTCTGATCATATTGTCGCCATCAAAGGGTTTGTGCAGTGTGAAGTTCATAGAGGTAAATGTGGCCTTTTTGGTATCGTCATGAAATACATGGAGAATGGATCTCTCTGGGACTTCCGTAAACGTAGATGGCAAGATCATCCTGATCTCTGGCCTTTGACCAATAGGATGGTCTATGAAATCTCGTGTGGAATGCATTTCCTCCACTCAAATGATATCATTCACCGTGATCTGAAGCTGGAGAATGTTCTAGTAGATGGTAATCTTCATGCCAAGGTAACATTCTTCACCTATCATCCATCCAGTGTTTTATCAAACCATCATAAGTACTTTATGAGATATACCTGAAATATGTGTATTGTAATTAACAAACATTTCCCAGTAGAATGCCGGTGAACTCATGGTTTCACTGAACGATGCCCTTCTCTTAAAGTTTGAGTATCTCACTATTTTTGTCTGAGAAGATTGAAATAGAAGAAATCTGACAAACTGCTTTTCAAAATATTCCTTGGCTTTAATGAACTGCAGTCTAGAATACCAGGATATAATATCAATAGTTCCAAGGCTAATAAATCTTGTCTAGCTGCAAATTAAAGTATATTCATCAACTGTGATTCAGGTGCAGATTAGAGATACATATTCTCAGGTTGTTCACAGGATTCTTACTAGGTGAATTTATTTCCAAAATTGTTTGCACATTTTCCTATCATAAGTTATGCAATACTGAAGATATATATATTTATATATATATATATATATAACATGATGGAGCTTGCAGCTGAACTTATTTTGTTATAGGAGGATGGGAAAGCATTTATGATTCCCAATTAAATCTCCTTCATAAAATCAAACAAAGGTCACATGAACTTTCCTGCCAACCAATATATGTATACCTTAACTGTTTAGGAAAAAATAGTTTAGAATAGTTTGATATAAATTTGATGTGTTTTCTCTCGCTATGTTAATGGCATGTACAGATTGCAGATCTTGGCCTTGCAGCCGATCTCCGAACTTCATTTGGTGATAGATGTTGGGGCACGGACAGTCACAAGCCTCCAGAAGCTTTTAGGACAGACTTATCCAAGTCAATTAAGGTTGTCAATCCTAAGTACGATGTCTACAGGTGAGAAATTTTAATTCGTATAAACAATCCTCATAAGTCCATTACATGAGCAAAGAAGTAAACATTGGTGAAATGTCCAATCAATGTATGTTCTGATTCTTAAAGGATTTTTTGAAGGAATTTTGGGTATATTGTAATCATCCTACACATTCAAGTATTTGAGGAGAATAGTTACTGAATGTCATTTCATGCAGGACTGTGATGGCAATTTCTTTTCTTTTCTATAACTCATGATCCTGTTTTTCATTGTTTTACTTCTTTTTTTCTTCCAAACCCTGCTTTCACTTTTTCATTTTGATAACAAATGTTACTTCAGCATCAATTTGGCCACCTCGCTGTCGAAATTTGAAGCTTCAAATATACTGCTTTGTAATTAAACAGAGTTTCGCATTCTGAACATCAATATGCGGGTTCCATACATGAAATGTTTTATTGGTCTATGCTCCAAACCTTAATTCAATAATGTCCAGCTATTAGTACCTTCTGTTAAATATCTGATTTAATCAGTTTTGTATCAATTTGAGTGCAATGTATCGCAGTATGTGTGAGATTTGTTGATGTATTCATTTATGTTATATTGGAGAGTTAACAAATTTCCATCTGCCTTTTTGTCATGCATTAACCCACAGCTTTGCGATGACCCTCTATGAACTTTTGACAGGTATTCATCCATACGCTGGTGAGTGCTTGCTTCCTGTTTCTATAGCATTACTTATATGATTTTTGGGTTTCCTGACTGCAAAAAGGCGCATGTAGGTTTGTAAGTAAGCAACTCGATGACTTTAAATCATCTCTGAATGACATGGTAAAACTTGTTAACGCATTACTAAAGAGCACTAGTCAAGTGCATTTACATGGTTTAGAACCTGGTCCTCCCATAATTGATCTACCACTGAGCCATCTCACATCCTCAACTTGGTGTAATTTTTGTGTTAAATAGATCAGCTTATGCATTCAAAATTATGTTACCAAGAGGCTTTATAAGATGGGTAGAAGAATCCCTGCAATTTGATTGGTAAATTAGCATGTAATTATTTTTACTTGATGCACGCGATATCGGCAATCGATTTTTGTTTTATAATTCTTTTTTTTTTTCTTCTTTTTTTTTTAATATATTTTTTTTTTTAATGATTTTTTTGATAACTTTTTTGGGGGTGATAATTATTTTTTTTCGTGTTTTTTGATAATTATAATCTGTTTAAAAAAAAATAATTTTTTTTTACATTATTATCATTATTTTTTTTTTTTAAAGATAAACTTTAGTACTGGTAATGCGATTGCATTGTGAAAGAAAAGGTGTGGAAAGGATCAGAAACAGTTGATCATGTAGCATGTAAGTATTGGTGTGCACTGCAAGGTTCTGGAGTCATCAAAATCATAATAAATTTGACCGAGTCTTGATAAAGTAACAAGCACTCACATAGAAAGCTATATATGGGACAACACACATGATGTCGGGGCTAGTACTACCTTGATTTCCTTGTCTTTCTATGCTCATTACTCAGCCAGTATACATTTTCTTCCAAAATTGTTTGGCACATGTCATTTATTTGTAATCTTGAACATTCAGTGTAAGTTTCGTTTGATTCTGTGAGAATTATTATTATTTTTTTACCAGTACTGGAGTTTATCTTTAAGTTTACAGTTAAATGTGCACTGACAATTTTGTTATTTATTTTTTTAAATTTCATGATAAGTTAGAAATCATGCGTCGGGTAAAAAAAAATTACCGGACTCATGATTTTGCCATGCATCCGGTAAATCCGTAAAATAACACAATTTTGTATTTTTGACAATTTTTGGGGCCCCATAATATAAACAGATGATGCACAGGTTTAATTTGTGGGTCGGTGGAATTGTGTGCACGCGGTACCTTTGAATTTGGTCTAAAACCGTTCTCAAACCTGTGCATCATTTGTATAATAGCCTCAGTTTGCTAATGCTCATACATTTTGTTTGATTGCACTCAAATTTTATTGTAAGTTTTACTCATCATAGTTTAATTTTCAGTAAAAAATAAACTACTAATGCAATTAATTTCCCTATATTATGATTTATGATTTTGTTTCTATATCAGAAAGAGGATTGGAAATGGTGAAGGTCTTTAAATTATCTGACCAGGCTCCATGTCTGAAACCTGTTCCAGTAAACACTCCTACACCTCTGATCAAAGTCATGACAGATTCATGGAGATATGCAGCGAATAGTCGTCCAGCTTTCATAGGTTTGTCCATACTTGATTAGCCTTAAAGGCTGCGTATTCTACTGATCCTACTTCAGATTAAGGAGCTTTAAGAGATGGAGACCCAACTGGCAACAAATTGTTCCGAGCAGCTTCCGTTTTCTATGGTTGCACAATATAATCTATGGTTGTGCTGGTACATTTGATGATTGAGGTTCGAAGCCGCCAATATCATTAAAAAGCTAGAGTAGTGATCTTGTAAAGATAAACACTTTGTACTGCTCGTATTATCAGACGAGTGGTAGCGAAAAATAATCATCATTACGAAAACATATTCCCCTTTGAAGGTGGCCCGTTAGTTTGCAGCTGGGCATGAATTTATTTTTTCCACGTATCTGCAAGGAAGATCCAGTTAAGCACATGCCTCACATATTTTCTCCTGGCGGCATCGTAGATGGTTTAAAGGGAATGAGCTAGCTAGAACTCCATTTCTTAAAACTCTTTGTTCAGACGTTTACTGCCATCTGCTGCTCACAATGTCCCGGTGCGTCGATAGCAATGTCCCACAATGCAGCACCACCTGCATGATACGCGCATGACGAACCTTGGGTACATGGCCCGAAATCTATGTACGCCGTCCCCGAAAGACTTCGCAATTGAAAATATATTACAGTAGTGGTAGCGATGTCAGTCAAATAACCTGCCTTTATATTACAGTCTTCTAATGAAATATATTAGTATTTAACAACTGTGAACAGAAAGGGATTTTTTTAAATATTTTGTTTTAAAGCAGTAAGGCATGCTGGTATATATTTTCAGAGGGAGGATTTGACAGTGAGATTGTGAAATATTTGATATTACCTTTTAAATCTCAGATATTGACTTCCAAATCGAATTTCCACCTATAGATAGTGGCGTGAGGGTGATTAGGTTAACTCATCAATAGGTTGTTATCTTGGGGTTATTTCTCTTGAGGATAATTGTCCTAGGTGTTCATTTTTCATGTTGTTCGTTTTCTGAGGGGTATCATACCCTAGGAAGTAGATGCACTGGGAAGTCTAAAAGGAGAGTTGTTGTCATGTGGGTGAGTTTCCAGGGGCAGTTGTCCTGATCATATAAAATACCTCCATGACAGTTGAGCTTGAATTGCCCATTTGCTCTCAATTAAAGTGTATTACCAGGGAGGTAATAGAGAAGAAGTGGAAGCAAGCCGCACTCCATTGACCCCATGCTCCAAGCCGCCGAATAGTTATGCGTTAATTTGCAACTTTTACCCAAGTGGCGAGAGAAAGGAGCGCATGAATATCAGGATTGAGAAGTCTTACATCAGAAAACAGTATCCCTTTCAATCTGATTTTTCTTTTACCAACTCTGGTACACAATTTATTGGAAGGGCGAAGTGCCAAATTTGAATAATTATTTGATGCACTATTCCCAATAAAATTCCCATATAAAGTTCATAACTTACATTACAATTTGCCGGTAATCTAATATTTTGCAATAAATGTGAAACTGGCGCCTGGCCTCCGACATTCCCCGCAGTGGAGGCGCGGCTCGGAGCATGGAACTTCAAAGCAAAGTGGATTGTTATATGTTTACGTTTTAGAACGCACGGGTGCATTTGAATAAATTACTAGAGTTTCCACTCCTTCTCTATCACCTCCCTGGTATGACTTAGTAAATATTACTCCTGATGAGATCTTGATTAGGTCTAGGCTACAATATTGATGTGCTTTATCTCTAACCATCCAAAATGTTGTTGTTGCTTTTTATTTCTTAAATCAGAAATTACAGATTGGGTAAAGAATCAGCTAAATATTAAACCCACTCATCGATCACTCGGAATCTGTTTAGGAGAGGTTAGTCTGTTTGTTATTGTGGCACTAGTTTTTATTTTGTATTGTATGTGAAGCAAAGTTGATTGTTCACTATTAATTGTAGGGCAATCTAAGAATATCAAGTAATTATTATCTGATGTAATGTTTTATTAACAGTTAAAACTGAATATATTGAATACATAGGATGTGTGTGAACAACAAAATTCACTGAGAAAGATGGAAATCTGCATATTATTTCTACTAAACATTGACGATTTTTTTTGTTTTAATAGTAGGACTGTTGACGGACTGTTCCATCTTAATTTTTAATTTTCTCTTTCTCCGTGTGCATTTATAAGATTTGAAATATTGCGACATCCAGTGGCTTGTACAAATGCAAGTATTTTTTCATTCAAAAATGTGTATCACAAGTTGGTTCTTACATTTTGGAGATGCAGCTACGGTGTAATTATTTTATTGGATAGTTTGTTTGTTTGTTTTCTCAAAATTTCAATTATACAGCGAAGGTCTTCCAAGAAAGAAGGAAATACAGACGGTGAATCTGTAAGAAAAGGAATGAAAACTTAACTGTACAGGATCAAGCCCCAGCCAGATATCAGAGTAATACCATACATGATACATAAATGGATATGTGTATGATCACACTCCTGTCGAGAAGAGTAAAGTCAATATAACACAACAAAAAATACTCCCCCTTAATCAAAATAGCGTAATATAGCCTCTTATGTTCACACAACATGTAATTATATCTTTTTTGTAAACATATCTGGGGTTATTTTTTTAATAAGCTGAGTGTATTTTGCAAATTCAAATTCAGAAGGGTTGATTTTCTTTTTTAATTTGTGCTCACCCAACATAATAGTAGTACTAGAAGTCATTATAGGCATTACGTGTAAAGTAAATGAGGGGAATCCTCAAGTGAGAACGAATGTTCAGACAACAGGATTTTGTTTTGATCGTGTAAAAAGTGAATATTTTGTGTACAAAATTAATATAAGTTTATTATGGAGAACAAGGTTCTTATAACACGTATGTCTTTGTGAGTTTTGACATTTTGAATTTTACTTAGAGAATTTTCATTATCCTTTAGTCTTAATTTTTCGGAAAAAAAGATGACTCATAACATGTGTTTCTACGGGATTTTGACATTTTTAATTTTGCTTAGAGATTTTTTACTTTCCTGCTGGACTTGTATAAACACACCTAGTGAGCATTGCGGCAGATTTACAACTGTATGGGCCTACCTAATAACGTTTACATCTAGACATATTTCGAAATCAGAATATATTGACTGTGAAAGCAAATGATCAATACAGTGCCTTATTTACCTAGTATTGTAAATGTCTTATCTTGTCTTATCTTGTGACTGAATTGTACACAAAACATGTAGATTATTCTAAATTGGTGTAGAAAGAAGACATGTCAGTTTAAGGCAGATTATTATTTAGTGTTAAAGAATATTTCCTGTTTTTCTTCTTTAACGTTTTCACTTCAGTTATTTACTTGTATACAGTGCGTCCCAGAAAAAAACAAAACCGAGAATTATCGATGTTTTACCATAACTCCGTTTTGTTGACAATATGCCATGCATTAAGTCTGTCGTCTACGGCTGATTGTCAACGAAACGGAGCTAAATCTGTTGTCAATTCTGCTAGTTACTACGGCAGGCAGCCAGTGAAAACGAATTCGTTTGATAAAATTATGGAAATGCAAGCACTGCTTTAAACAAACATAACTTTGTCATTCCTTGCTCATTTTTCTAGATTGAGGTGTCATATGAAATGGCAGAGACTCAACTTTCTAGAAATGTGATTTTCTCTTTGAAATTCGGATACCGTCCGCCAAATGACTTTTTGGTTTCCTCTTTTCAAATTCATTTTATTTACTTAAGCGTGAAAGAGGACAATCTAAGCTTTACAAATATGTGTCATTTATCAATTATAAATGTGAATAAGTTATGGTAAAACATCGATAATTCTCGGTTTTGTTTTTTCTGGGACGCACTGTATAGTTTCTACAGGCCTATGTATTTCCGGACTAATTTGATGACAAGGGGTAATTAGTATATTTCGTATCCATAATTCATAATTCCATGATGTCATTTGTCTATACTTTCATGCACAAATATCCAACAAATGAATGTACATATGTAAAGCGTGAGTCACAACAAGGAAACCCAGATTCAATTCTATGGATAACACGACCGCAAATATTTTCGAAATTTCAACTCAGACGGAATTTCAATACCCTATTGTATGTCACATAGAAATCATGTTTACTCAATACGTCATTGGCATGTTCACACATTTCAATAGGTGATGCACACGGCTATTGGAATTGCCTTGGGAAAAGGCCTAACTATTTGAGGTCTTAAAACGGTCGCCCCCCCCCCCCCCATGATCTCGGCCGATCGCCGCGAAAAAAATGTGCATGCATGTCAAATGAAGTGTAAAGAATACTATGGTAATTTAGTTTTTTGAAAAAATCACTCATTTGCATATTAATGGTAACTTATGCAAATAATGTCATAAAATTAACCTTTTTACCCATAAATCATATATCCTTTATATTCAAACATTCTTTTTCACTACATGTATCCGTAATAGACCATTTGGAACAATAATACGACCAAAAAATTGGAAGAGCTAGGTTATTCCTTTTGTTTTCTTTTGTTTTGATAATTTCGTATGTATTTCATTGTTTCTAACTCATGTATGTTTTTATGTTTTTGGTTTTATTTCATTTCCTACAATTCAACTATTTTGACTTCCAAAACAAACACCTAAACTTTAAACAAGACCCAAACAACCGATGTTAGTTGGTGATGCACAAGTTGCAGCCTGTCATCCTCTCCTTATTTTGACTCCTTGATCAATAAAAATCTTATAGAAAGCTAACAGTAGCACGTCCATTTTGACTCTGGCCAAGTTTTGAATGTTCAACCCAAAATTTACTTCTATGGTCTCCTTCCTAAATGAATAAACCCATACAATTATAATGAAAGTAGCTGGTGAACATTATTATCACAAACTTGGGCAAGGTCGATTTTCAAATGCTTTTTAGAATGGCCAGTGCTCTGTCATCCATGATCGCATTTCGATGAGTAACCTGTTAGTGAAATAAGACGTTATTATGGTAACCTTATGTTATATTCCAGCAATTTTGCTTGCTTTTTATGACAATGGGGCTTGAATGTGCATTTCCATTTTCACTGACTCATTCTGTCTTAGGAAGTCAAAGTTTAATATTGGCTCTCAAATCTATCAAACACACCGGCCCAGACATCTGTAACCCTCTGCCCATTGTAATAAGAAGCCTTTGGACATTGTATTATTTTAAGAAGGCGGTTACAAATATGTTGTTGTCTAAATATTGATCCTGTCGTGTTTTATTCTACTTTATTCATGTTTGTGTGTACAGTGACTGTATTATATACTATATGAAATATTGTATCAATCCAATGTTAATGATGCAGTAAATATATTCGTTTAATTTCGTTTATTTTATGTTTATCTACACATGAAATATTGTATTTTACACTACATTTTGTTTCCTGTTTCTATGGTGATTTTTTTTCTTCAAGTATCTACATTATAAATGAATTATCTTCCTCCGACTCAAATTACTAGCAACAATGGTTGGGTTCATTTTGTGTCAATACAAATCAATTTACGGAGGCGTGATGGCTGAGTGGTAGAGCAGTGCTCTCGTAACCGGGAGGTCCTGGGTTAGAGACAAATTCGATCATCTATGCCCTTTAATAGTGAGGCATTAATCCTTATTACCAAGTCTGTCGGAGAGAACTTAAAACAGTTGGTTGCCTTGTTGCTTAATTACAAGCACATGCATGTTTTCTTAGCAGTCATATTCGAGATGTCCGATGAGCAATGGGCAATATACCTACTTTAAACATCAAAGTTTTGTATAGTGCGAAACAATTGATCATCAATTGTTTTTCTTCACATATCATTGCATTTTCTTCAGAATTGTACATAGATTGTTTTAAACTAGAAAGGGTGAAAACACTTACTCAGAATTGTTATTTCAGCGTGTTTTAAGCTTATTTATATGTTTTTCTTCAAGTATCGACATTACATGTATTAATGACTTAAACAAGTATCTGTATCTTTCAACATTATCAGTCTAGTGCTCACAAATGATGGGGTAGATCTCTTTATATACTAGGTGTACATTCTCATTCATTTCAAATTCACAATGATGTACATCGTCAATAATGTATCCCTAACAAACACATAATCAAATAGATCATTCATGGTTCATTCATTCATGGAAGTCAAGATATGCTGTGAAAAAAAATTATCATTTTTCTAAAGAAAACGAGCATTTAAAATTGATTCTCTTGTAAATAATGTATACATATACTGTTCTAAAAGTTGTGAGTTTTATAAACAAATAATTACGCATGATTTGTGTCTGATGTGAAATAATTAAAACATTGCTAAATTTACCAGTACCTTAGAGGAATCTTTCTTATTGGTGTTAACTTTGTATTGTCGTATATACATTTGACCTTAAACTCATACGAGTGTCATCTGTAAGCTTCCTCGTCTCTAGTGATACATTATTGGCCATATTTGTGATTTTCTTTGAATATCTAATTTAAGGCAAGGACTAAAGAGCACGATTTGCTCTAACATTATTAACGTCAAAGACCGAGCTGCCTTTCTTCCTAAAATAAAAGTTAATGAATGGATCTGAAATCCATCGACTCATCTTTTCTTTTACCTGTTATAATCGCCGATAGTCTTGTGTGGTTGATGTTCGAGGGAGACTAGAGCCTCGTGCAAAATAAGAAAGCACAAATGGAAAGAGACTGAGTGTTTACATGTAGTTAAGAGAGCAGTGAGGCAGTTTCCGTAACAGTTATCCTAAAGCGTACATAATTATTTACATAATTTCATGGAAGTCAAGGTTTGATATGGTGTGAAACCAAATGATCATTTTGATAAAGAGCATTGTAAAACTATTCTGTTGTGAGTGGATTATTACATAGACTGTTCTCAATCTGTCTATATTTCAATCATAATCATTGTCCTTTAAATTATGTAGGCCTATATATAGTACTCCCCCCCCCCCAAAAAAAAAAAAACAACAACAACAACAACAACAACAACAACAAAC